CGATCGCCCGAGTGATAGGATCGCCAATGTGAACGCGCTCGTACACGTCGACATTCGTGAATGAACGTGTTCACGTCGCACATCGAAAGGATCCACCTCAGACGTAATTGTATTTCTTCAATTTTTGTTCCTCTGAATATTATAATGTTTCCCTTAATAATATAGTATTTTTAAGGATCACTGGAAAAGGATTGCCAAATCCTAAAGCTCCCGGTCACTATGGTGACTTGATTGTACAGTTCGAAGTGGAATTCCCCTCGAAACCGATAACGGATCCGGTCTTACGTGAGCAACTCATGAGAATCCTTCCACCATTGTCTCATGCATAATTATATATTTGGTGTCGTGGAGCTTTTGGAGGTTTGTAGTCTTCCCGACTGACTGATCAGATGTTTAAATGAATTTTAATTGTCATTTCATTGTATGTATTTATTAGATATGTATTCCCGCACACATCTCTATTCACATGCACTCGGTATTCATGTGTGTTTAGGTAAATGTATCTGATTTACGCTTCACCGTTGCGGGTATACGTTTTCAGCATAGGTCAATGTTGTATCTTTCTAACTGTACCATGTGTTCATCATCAGAATGATTTTCTAATGCAACTGTGGATTTCACAGTGAACTCTATTCTTTCTAGAATTTCCATTTCATTTTTAATACTCTCGAGATCCACATTTCCAGTGTTACTGGCTAGTTACTGTGTCGAGTTGTGTAGAATTGATTGAAGTCATAAATATTTTACTAAGAATTCTGCGATTAATAAAATGGTTTAATCGTGATATTTCAAGAGGAACAAGTGTGAGCGGAAGAGAAGTGTTGCGTGCGATTGTTAGCGGAGATAACGGGTAGGCATCGCAACGTCGTCGCTTCCTGTCATCAGCCTTGGCAAATTTTGGGTTCACTTTTGATAAATGAAATGATTGTTTCTTACCTTCAGACTGTTTCGCGCGCTGCGAGTGTTGGCTGAGGGAGGGAGCGGGAGTGGGGGGGGGGGGGGGGGGGGAAGAGGGCCATTCGAAGGACTTTATGCGATACTATGAACACTGTGATGCAAAACCCCTTTACTGCATAAAAAATGGTGGCTCAGACATCACAGGTTCCTAGGCCTTTGCTAAGTTGTTGACAGCGATTCCAGTTCTCAAGAGATCTTTCAATTAAAGGTTTAGTGAATAGTTTTGAGAGATTCTAACTCTTGTTAGAACCGATGCATCCAAGTTCTAGAGGAAATTTTGCAACTAAGGATCGTTAGGGAAAACTTCTATGTAACACCCAAAACGAATATCAAACATCAAACCTTAACATGTCGTTTGGGATCTGAGTTCAGTTCTCCTTCACTAGCAGTGCCCTGTAACCTTCTCATTATTTTTTTTCTATTAAACATTTTGTTAGGAAAGAACTAGTGAGAGTTACCAGTTATAATCAGCTTTCCCAGTTGTGTTTCTTTTATTGTCTTTCTATATCTATATATCTTGGGGACAGCCTTGCGGCCAACCAGTCGTAGGTGTCCTTCCTTGCACAAGTAGTCTATCCCTCAGTCTCTAAGACTGTCTTACTTTCGCAACTTCACAAGGAGTTACGAAGGCACAGTGGCTCATAGGTGGCACTACTGACGCGATCATAGTTGTTCCGCCCCAAAACTGGAAGGCTAACTTCTTTCCTTAGTTTTGGTTTTACCCCGCGTTTTTTTTTGTTTTTCTCCGTTAGATGGTATCAGCATTGCTTGACGCAAAAAATGATTAGCAAAAATGAGCAAGAAGGAATAGGGTATCGCTTCATTGGCATGAAGGTTCGGAGAACGTACTGAGGCGCAAAGGGCCTATACTTAGGGTGTTATCCAGGATTGTTTTTCGCTTTTTTCTTCCATTGAGAGGCAATTAGCGACTTTGGGGTCGCAAGTGAACGCCATTATCCGCAACATCCAACTGCGGAGTTTGCCTAGGGAGCTAAATACAAACAATAAAAATCAAATGCCCAACCATCCCTTAGCGGACCTGTTTATTTCTCCCTTTACAGATTTCGATGATGTCACCAGGTTCTCTTTCTGTACTTTTCCCGTTCAATTGTGATGAAACAGTCGTAGTTATTCATGAGATGTGGCACATGATTGCCGTCAAAAAATTTATCGATTTTCTACTGTGAAGTTCGCCGATATCGTTGACCGACACATTTGACGAACTAAAGATCCCTACACTTACTTGTTTTTTTTTCCGGAGGAGGGTGCTGTCCCGGAGTCTCATTTCTTATCTGAATGTGTAATAACAATGTGAAACTCCAAAAGTTTATTCCAAAAAACTCAAAAGACAGCAAAAGTATCAAAAGTTTTTTGAATGTCTTGCGATATTTCGCTGATATGATGAAGGTGCTACGCACCGAAATATCGCAAGATAAGATATTTAAAAAATTTTGAGACATTCGATGTCTTTTGAGTTTTTTGGAATAAACTTTTGGAGTTTCACATTGTTTTTTTGTGGTAGTCAGCTGCACTTCCCCGCTGAAATAGGGTGCTACGCAATAGGTTGTTTAAGCTGTTGGCCTAGGTGTGCCTTTTGTTGCTTCGCCTTTTTTTTCTGATTTGTAGTAGCGCAGAACGTGGCGATAGGACGCCATAATCCCCGTCATAGAAGTTCCGTATTTCTAATTTTAGTTGAAGATACCACCAAGTAGTCGCAAGCTGTAAGCGCTTCCCAAAATATAGTCTCAACTCCGTTGGTGCCAAGATAATGCAGGTAGTTGGAAAGGCAGACAACCTTGGTTTTTCTTCCAATTTCTCTTCGAGTAATATTGAAAATCGTGGAAGTGCTCACGTTTTGAATTAAACATTGTCTTCGTTTTGTACGAGATTTCCGGGTTCGTGGTGCAGTTGTTTCACTGTGGTTTCTTTTTTCAGGATGTTGTCAAGAGTAGCACGTAGTCTTATCAACACCTCACATTCTGGGATATCCATAGCTCGAAGTAAGATTTTTTTTCTTCACCGTTATCGTTTACTAAATCGCTGATTTGACATTATGTTGCTACTTGTGCCCATTGTCGAGGACATATAGGACTTGAACAAACGACTGGCCAGTACACAGCCTGTTTTTTCGGATGGGCAGTTACGGTCTGCTAAGCTGATGAAGCGGCGTGTCAGGCAGGTGAGTTTGGTCCGGTGCCAGGCCCGTTTTACTAGAAATTAACGGGTTTGGCGCCCTGGAACACTTATACTGCCTTACACGCCTCTTCATGCAGCGAAGTATATGGCCTATTTGTAGTTTTCATGAAACAGCTAAGGTTGCTTTTGAGTGTCCAACCCATCTCCGAAAAAAAAGGAAAAAAATTAAGACTTGTGGTGGGGAATTGACTTGGAGTAAATGTAGGCTGGTCGAATGGCACCATATTTCTGAGTTCAAGTCGTGTGCGAGGCTTACCAAAAAAGAAGTGATTACTGATTTGAAAACTGAACGTTTCAGTCTTTCATCTATATATGTATATTATTTTTTGGAAGTTGCATCGTACCACTACTGATCTTTAGAATTTTAAGGCAGCTCCTCCTTCAACTTCCTTGATGCGTTTGATTTCAACTCACAGCTCACTGATGTGAGAACTTTTTCCGTAAATCACGATCTCATTTCCAATTTTTCTACTTATTTGTTTTTCAGGATGAAAGAGATCTTATGTTCTCAACTCCATGAATATTGTCAAGAGAAGCTTTTACCGCGGATAATCACTGCTTATCGTGAAGAGAGTACGGTTTGGTTCAGATTTATTTTTTTCACCTTTTACATCTTTACACCTATAGGATTCATTTACTCGATTCACATTTCAGAGTTTGATCCCACACTGATTCCTGAAATGGGGAAAATGGGCCTCCTCGGAGCGCCTTACCAGGTCAGTTCCATTAAAAACAAGTTTGGCTTTATTCAATATATTTTATTTTGTAGGGCTACGGATGCGCTGGAACGTCAACAGTAGGCTATGGACTGATTGCACGTGAAATAGAACGAGTAGATTCGGGATATCGATCTACGATGAGCGTTCAGACTAGTCTTGTTATTGGACCAATCTATAATTATGGTTCGTGTTTTGTTTTCTAGAGTAGAGAATGGGCCCGTCCCTTTTCGTGACGCTTCGCGGATACGCTTGACTTGTGTAAGACGACCACAATCTATCTTGTATGTAAGGCGCTGGAACCTGAACGGGCTAACGTTTAGCACTTTCTCGGTCAGGCTCGTAACTGGTTGAATGATGGATATCCTTTGTCGTGGCTTCGTTGGCGATGGCCCGATAAGGGATACGATCCCAGTTCAGACAGTGTGAAGGCATACCCCGAAGTTGTATATTGTGGAAAATGTCGTTCAATTTACAAACCTAACGACTACTTAAGGAACAAAAAAATAATGGAGACTAAGTAATGACCTGCTGGCCACTTCTCTGACCGAGTTCCCCTACCTGCTCCTTTTATGCCAGGGAAGCGATACCTCACCATATTACATGTACAAGGAAGGACGCCTAGAAATTGCTCGAGCGCAGGGGAATGTCTTCAAGGAGTTTGGCCTGAATGTTTTCTTATTCCATCCGTTTTTTTTTGTGATTGGAAATTGACGCATGGTACTTGGTAGAAGACTTCGACAGATTTCTGCAATTATCAATCTCCATGATGTGCTGTTGCAAACAGGGCGCGTCGAACTGCGGGAAATTCTCAATGATACGTATCAGGTCGCTGGAGGGAGGGGTGGAGGCATATTTGCTTTTAACTACTTTTGGTCGAAGTTTCGGTGGTGCTTGTACATGTTATATGACTGTCAACATTTTTCACTTTTTTATCTTCCTCATGAGCTCCACTAGTATATTTGTCCTATTCCTTACTAAATAGAGTTGTTGACCAGCTTAACTTCAAACTTCCCATCCCGTTCGCCTAGCGCTGCCTACCCCTTTTCTCCACATCATGGTCAAAGTGACCTTTGTGTGAACGTAGAGGTCGTGGAGTTTATTCTTCCTAGAATCCTCTTCTGGACTCGCTT